GGAAGGGAGGGAAGGGAAGGGAGGGAAGGGAGGGAGCCAGGGAGGGAGGGAGCCAGGGAGGGAGGGAGGGGAGGGAGGGAGGGTTGTCAATGGAAGGTGCAGATGTCGTACATGATAAGGAGTCGATCCATATGCGAAGTTATCCTTAGTGTAGCTGGACTCCTGCAGGGCATCTGAGCGACGGCAGAGGAGCAAGGGATGGGCGGGGGTGTACCGACCTTGACGATCGTCTCCTGAGCAGCGAGCAGCGAGGAATGGAAACTCAACGAGCCCTCGACCTCCCTCAGACTTCTGACAACCTGCCAGCGGAGTCACAACAGCAGCAAGGAACAAAGCTTTCATGTTCGAATGAGTCACGACGTTGGCCGGAACAAAACGTTCATGTTTGCATCCTCCTCACTCGCTCCCTCTCACCTCCAATATCTGCTTGCCGGCTGATTTGGAGCAGCTCCGTCGGATCTCTTCCTCCTCGACCCTCAGCAGCTGCGATCTCGTGCTGTGACTGTGCTGGAGCTTGTTGCTCCTCTCCTTGCCATCCGAGCCCTGTACCCCATCAAGATTCGCCCCGAGCATCGATATCCTCCCCCTCCACTCCCCAAGGAGTTGCTCCACTCGATCCGCCTTTGCTCCGTACTGCTCCAAGAAACATGCGTTGTCTGGCTTACCTACGGCTTCTGCGTCCCCCCCCTCCTTTCTTGTTGCGAGCCCTTCGTCCAACAATCCTCGGACTTCCGTCATTGCGTCGATGGCATCTTTCAGCGCTTCCCTGTACATGTTCCGCGTTCTCAGCAATCTCTTGACCTCTGCCGCCTGTTGTGTTGACGGGAGTCAGTTCAAGGAATTACTCGACATGCTCGCTCAGCATGCTCGCTCGATCTCATGTTTCAGTCTCACATACCGTCTTTGCTTCCTTCGTCTCCTTCCATGCTCGCACGCTTTCATCATACTTGCCATTGACGTCTCGCTCCTCTTTCCTCAGATCCAACAGGAGAGGCTTGAAGGATTCGAGCACGTCAGCAACACGCCTGAACGCCTCGATGTCAGACATGGCAGAGCCGCCAGAGGTCAGTCAAGATCTCGATCACCGGATCAAACCGTCGACTTCCATCCCGCCTTTAGCGCTTACATGTCAGGATACAGGAGAGGGGGCAATGCCATGTTCTCACCCTGATTGTTGGAATTTGCTGTCAGAGAAGAGGAAGAACAACTCGATGCCATGATGAGAACATGGCAAGGGACTGAAATCCTGGCCACATCCCCGCACTGGCTCCAGACAATGTTGAACTCTAGTTGAACCTTACAGGCTATATTTGAAATATGTATTGGATTTGAATTAAATTATCCGATGACAATGCATGAAATGGCAAACTTTCAGGAAAGTTTCAAAACTTGATAAAATATTTTGATAATTTATTTATTAGTATTCAAATTTCAGATTAAGTTTTCAAAATTGTGTCAACCAAGTACTTCCAGTGAAAACACTTTTTTCTCCGAAGGCGCAAATATGCTGAAAATGGAACAGAGAGCAATGGTGGAGGAGGAGAATGAAAGGAGGAGACGGATACTCAGTACAATCTTATCCTGTAAACTGCTGGTGGGAATTTGAGGAAGGACGGGATTGGGAGATGAAAGGATTCTGAAGGAGAAAGGGTGTGAAAGGAGATGAAGAGCCATTTCCGGCATGCGATCGTGGCAGTGATGTGTCAAACACTGTGTGTATGCGGTGGTAGTGGAAGAAATGTAGGCAGATGATGGCTGCGGTGGAGCAGGAGTAAAAGAGACGAAGAGGGCATAACGATGAACGAGGCAAGACAACTTTGGCGGTTATCAGGATAGGTAGAAAGACGTCGGCACAGTTTATGATAAAGAAAGTTCGGGCGGGACGATCATTCACATTATTGCCTGCAACACATGCATGAGCTGCGTCGACCTGACGTATCCTTTCAGGGTCAGGAGAGTGTGACAGTTTGTTAGGAACAGAAGCAAGAATTTCGCCTCGCAAGACCTTTGAAGACATTGAAGGTGAACAACAAATAAGTGTGTCTGGTATGTTTGTCTTATCTGATACCTTGCACAGGGAGAGAGATGGTCGCTGAGACGGCACCATTGCTTTCTCCCGCACAACGAGAGGTAAGAGCTGTCTTGAGCTTTCGACTCATCACAACAATTCCTCCTTGCAGCCATTCTGGAACAAACCGACAGGCACGAGGAATCTTGATGTGAAACAAGCAGAGAGATACGCCAAAGATGCTGTGGTGAGCACAGAAACTCGAACCGCCTGCCTGTTGAATGATCTCGTTGCCTCCAGGTTCGAGATGAATCGGGAGATCTCTACGAATTGGGAACACCATTAGCGAGGTGATGATGAAGTTTCTTGTGCTGCACTTGCTCCTGCCTTCTTGCTCCCTGAGATGTTCGGTTTGACTGCGACTTGCCGGCAGGTTAGGGAAGTTGGGAACAGGAGTTGGGTTGTACTTCTATTTCGTGTTCTACGCTGGTTTGGTGAGCTTGTTCTTTGTGGTTGACGGTGGTTGCCGACTGCAGCTGTCAGGTCTTGGGCCTGATGTCTGTTCTTACTCTACCTGTGAGAAGACAAAGGAAGATGAAGATGAGATTGATCCCATGATCGCAGGTGATGATAAGCAATTTTCAAGGATCGTATGCCTTCGATCCTGCAGAGAAGGTGATTTCCGTGATGGTTGTCATCCTCCTACTAGTGGCGCTGAAAGATGAGCAGATCGGATTCCCGCGGAATCTTCTTGGTGTCCTGACGATGCGAATCTTGTTGAACTTGTTCACCCTGTACATTAGTTGCTAGCACACTGGGCAACCGTCCTCCACATCAGCCTCTTCTTCTTCACAGGTACGTCGTCCTCGTACTGAATCTGTGTCTAACTTCACCAAACAGCATCATGGATTTCTTGTGCTCTCTCGCTTTTCTCTTCTTCCTCATCTACTATAGGTCTGTCGAGGGGATGATGGTTGCAGGTCAAAGGCATGACAAGTAACGTTAGGAGAAGACAGCTCCTTGCGAGGAAAGAGATCGAGACGAAGATTATCACTGCTGCGGACTACAGCATCCTCGTTTCGAACTTGCCAGGTGAAACACCAAAAGGTTGAGATTCAAGACTCGTTGACCCGCTTCCTTACCTGCAGAGAATGCGACGAGAGAAGAGATTCTCGATCACTTTGGAAGGTAACAACCGAATCATCCAAGATGTTGACGTAAACTATCATTCTCAACCTTTCGAAATCAGATATGGACAGATCGAGCATGTTTACCTCTGCTACAAGGGATACGCCAAGGTAGAGCAAATGTCACTATGCCATGTCTGACCTCTTGCCCTGCAGCGCTCTCAGCTCATGAGTGTGAAAGAGAAGGCGGAGGAGGATCTGGAGCAGTTCGACATCCAACTGGCTTCTCCCCTCGAGGAATCATGCCCTTGCGTTCTCCATGCTGTTTGACGTTTTTTCCTTTCAGTTTCCTGAAGCCTCAGAGGGCCACACGAACGCACAGAGAACGCTAGACGAAGGTGTGGGCGCGATGATGAGGAAGATGAAGAGACAAAGATGATGGAGATGAAGACAAATTGCTTGTTGTACTGGAGATATGATTGCTCCTTGTGCTGTTTTACAGTAGTTCCCTTCAAACATTCAGTTTTGTGTGGTGTTGTCTTGTGTTATGGAATCAGTCGCAGAAATCGATCGCGGTGACATTTTACATTGACATGTTTGACTTCACCAGTGCTGAGTGACATCCGTAAACATCAACTGGAACATGAGCGATGCCCGAGATGTTGCGGTCTGGCGTTTGTGACATTCAAGGTGAGATGCTTTTGTGAGGAACAAAGTTATACGATGGAGTGAATGAATCATCAGCTCGAAAGCTCTTCACGAAGATGCCGGATGGATTACAAACAGTCGGTGAGATGATGAATTGGCATGTTCTCGACAAGACAAGTTGTTCATTTTCTTGTGTTGCCATTCATCGCTGTGTGCATCTGAGGCTTTTCCGTTGAACCAATCATGAGGTTATTTCAGAACTTCTTCTCCAATCTCTTCGGCAAATCGAATCACACTACGAGTCTTTTCCGGCAGACCATCCCCCTCAAAGTCTGCAGTTGACATGTTGTTAACGTCTTGCGAGACTGACAGGCTGGCAGGTAAAGATAGCACCTCAACCGTCCGATATCCTTTGGGAGAACTTGGAGGTCAAACAGTAGACAAGTCGAGGGCAGCGGTCTGACTTTGAGAGCAGGTCAAGCCAAATATGAGAGCCCTCCGTGTTGCTAGCACTTCTGTCTTCTCGCTGTTCCTCCTCCTCATCGCAACAGGTCTCAAGTTCATGTTGATTGGATTTGATAATGAGGAGGAGGAGGAGGAGGAGTTTGAATGATGATGATGATGATGAGGAGGAGGAGGAGGAAGAGGAAGAGGAGGAGGAGGAGGAGGGAGAGGAGGAGTGAAGTGGGCTGTGTCTGGAAGTGTCGGATGAGGATCATATGGAGGATAGCAAAGAACATGTTTCATTGTTCTATATAGATCAAGACAATGCTGAATGTCTACTGCAGGTTTGATAGCAGCTGTGAACGGGAAGCACTTCTTCCTACCAACAGCGATCGAACAAGGGTTGTGGTTCTCCGGACTTCTTAACTTTCTCTCGGTCAGTCAAGGATGGTAGTGGCGATGTGCGATGTGTGATTACAAAACGAGAAAACAAAAGTCGGTCAGAGGAACGATCATGTTCAAGATTATATGATGAATCTACCATAGCGTGCATGCTAGTAACAACGATTCTTGATGACGACTTGTCTCATGTTTCCATCAACAAGACTTGTTGCTGCATGATTTACTTGAATCTTTCTGTTCTTTCATGATTATTTCTGTGCTTCTAACGTGGATTAGGTCATAATCATCATTGTGAGCAACGTCGCCATGTTTGTTTTGATGCCGGTCATTACACGTCTTGGTAAATTGCCTCCTCTCCCGCTGGTACCTATCAACTGACTTGCGCATTTCTTCGCTTCTTCCTTTTCTTCCCTTCCCTTGGCAATTGCTCAACTCCTTTTCGCCTGTGTTTGGAAGAATCTCATATCACCAAGAGTACTCAAGAGGTAAGAATCGATCTCAGAAGTATCTTTCTCCCTTCTATTCCTCCCCCCTTCCCCTTTTGCCCCTTCCCCACTCCTGCTCAACCTCTCCCCAACCTCTCCCCGCCCCACTCCACTTCCTCCCTCCCCCCCCCCTTTCTCCTCCTCCTCCCTACCCCCCCGTTTTCCCCTCCCCCTCCCACTCCTCCACGTCCTCTTCCTCTTCCCCCTCTCCTCCTCCTCCACCACCACTACCAACACCATCTCCGATACAAGTATCGCACCTCGCGTCTGACTTTCTCGTCCAGGTTTATATCATGTGGAGACTCTGGCTATTTCAGGTCTCACTCGAATGTCGGCGATTCTCCTGTGACACCAGCAGGTGCTCAACACGCTTCTTGCCGCGCTTGTCTTCTGGGACGCGAGCAGGAACGAGAGTGTGAGCAAGTTCGTTCCTTGAGCGCCATGGCGGCTGACGACATGGCAGGGAGTCACGAACTGGGCCCACTGGTTTGCTGATGGAGGGTCGATGATAGGTGAAGTATCGATGTGCTGAGGGAGGAGGAGTGAAGGAGTTTGCAGTCGGAGTTATTGTCGGAGATGCGGTCCTCATGAACCTGATTGAGTTCTTCCGCCCTTTCGACGTCATTCTGCCCCGGTATGTGTTGTGTGCAGACTTAGTTTGTCCTCCTCCTCCACCACCACCGCCACCACCTGCTGCTGTGTGATATGATGAAGAGGACTGTGACGTTCAAGATGATGATGATTGTTATGGATGTTGTGGAAGCGTGTATGCTGTCTTAGTGTGCTGAGCAAGTGGAGGAAACTGAGACGTCTGACGAGTTTGTTGATGCAGAAAAATGCAAGGGCCCAAGTGTTTGACACAGAAGCGACTCAACAGAGTTTATGAGGTTGAAGACATGAGAGGCTACTGAGATGATGTGGTGAAGAGCGAAGGGGGAAGAAGAGAGAGGGCAGAACAGGAAGGGAGAGGAGAAGAAGGGAGAGGGGAGAACAGGAAGGGAGAGGAGATGTTTTCAGTTGACACTCAATTCTTGATATGATATCCATGATTCATCATAGTGTGAGGTGGCATGATTCTTTTGTCAGGCGCCAGAACTTTCACTTGGCATGAGATATCAGGTGAGAAATCCAATTGCTTCATGATACCTATCCTCCTCCTCATCAGCATAGTAGTCATAGTCATAGTCATAGTCATAGTCATAGTCATGGTCGTCACCATCATTATCACAATCATCATCAGCATCGCCATCATCACCATCATCTCTTCATCTCATGTCTTCAACTCTTGTGACAACTCGTACTCCAGATGATTCTCAAGCATTTCACTCTCGCTCTCGCCTTGGGATCAGCCATGCCCCTCAACTATTGGTGAGATCAGATTATCAACGATTGCTGCTTACCATCCCCACTGGCTCAGTCGCATGTTTTCACACCACCATATCCTCTCCCTCCCCTCCTCTCCTCCCTCCCTCTCCCCTCCCTCCCCTCCTCTTCTCTACTCTTTCCTCACGTCTCTCATTTTACAGGCTCATCACCATCTTGTGTATCGTCACGTTCTGGATTGACAAATTCAACGTCTTGAGGCTTTACAAGAAGGTCAACACTCAATGAAGCTCCTCCTCCTCCTCCTCCTCCTCCTCCTCCTGCTTCCCCATATCTCTCCCCTATCCCTTACCCATCCCTCTTCCCCTCCTTCCACTCCTTCCCCCTGCTGCTTTCTTTTCTTCACCCACTCCCCCGCTTCCCCTTCTCCCCCCCGCCCCTCCTGACTTGTGCTCAGCCTGCACTCTGCAACGACGAGGTGGCAAACGTGGCGACTGTCTACATCGCGCCCTTGTCGCTTCTCCTCCACCTCTGCATTGCTCCGTTCTTCTACACGGTGAGTCGACAAAAGGGGAAGGGGAGCCGCAGCAGAGGAGGGTGCATAAAGGAGAGGGCAAGGATTGTATGGAGTAGGAGGCTAACAAATAGCAGGTGGTGGCAACGTGTCCTACGCAGATCGTTTGTCCTCCATCATCCGAAGTCTCCGTCACCTACGTCCTGCTCGGCATCGCAGCAGCTGTGCTCTGCCTCGCATGGCAGCCGATGCTCTACGTGGAACCAGAAGACGTTCACTACCATGAGGTAAGGACAGGGGAATCAGGCAGGAGAGGAGAGATTCGAAGAGGGAGAAAGGCAGGGGATTAGCGAGGAAAGGGGCAGGGAGGAAGACAAGATGGGGAGGAGGTTGGAAAGAGAATGTAAGGATGGTGCAGGTGCGCTGCAAGGATGTATCCTACTCCTATGTTGAAGGAATTGAGAAGTATCAACCTGAGCACGACTGGCCGGTGAGGATACGAGGAGAGAGGAGAGTGTTAACTTGGTGGTAGGCAAATCTCAACGAGTCGGTAAGCGCGAGCCAAGAGATTGGAATATCAGTCTTCTGATGTATATAAACATTGCCAAAACAAGGATTCAAAAGATCACACTGAACATTCAGCACACTGCACGATCTCCATGGCTAATTTAGATATGAACAAGCGAAGAATGTCCATGGATGTAACAACATAACTTGCGGTAAGCATGTTTTTATTTCCAGCAAACCTTTGTATGCACTACGCCACAACATTTACCTGCAGAGGGCAGAGGCAACCTCGAGGGTCTTGCCGAAGAAGGGGAGGGAAGCAACCTTGGCGCCGGGGAGGGCGGCAGCGTTGGCAACGCAAGACTTGAAGTTGGGGATCTGGGTGATGAACTGAACAGGTCCCTTGCCGGTGAGGAGGTAGTGCTGCATCATTCCTCCGAAGGCGATCATGGCAAGGCGGCCGTTCTTGATCTCAGTCACGGCACGGCGGTCGGACTTGAGGCCAAGGGGATCGAAGCCATAGTCACCAGTTCCATCGAGGGTTCCGTCAATGGCCTTCTGGATGAAGGGGATCTCGAGGGCAAAGAGGAAGAGGAGAACCTGCCAGGCAGCGCCAACCTTGACGAGCTTGTCGTGGAGGGCCCAGACCTTCTCGCCGGTGTACCACTTGCTGTAGAAGGGGAAGGTGAAGAGGTCCTGGACGATGAGACCAGTGGCGGCGAGCATAGCAATGCGTCCGTGCTTGACCTCAGCCTCACGAGCCCAGATCACGTCCGGCCATCCAAAGACTCCTCCGTTGACAGCCCAGTAGGGAGCCTCAATGTCATATCCGCAGGAGGTCTTGTAGGCAAAGCGGTCCTGCATGCTGGGTCCACGGGAGACGGCAGCGCGGGCAGTGGCAGCCTTGGGGAGGACGGAGGTGGTCGGCATGAAAGCCGAGGCGGAGGCCATGCAGGCGGCAAGAAGGAGAGCACGGAACATGGCGGCGGCTCTGGTGCTGCAGCGCCGTCGCCTCGGGGGTTAAGTAGGAGGAGGGCGGGGGAGCAGGGAACGATGGGGGTGGGGTAGTCCTTTGTGGGAAGAAAATGGGTAGGGGTGTCAGAGAAATGAGAGGCTATTCAAGGTAGGGGTGGGTACCGGTCAGGTCATTTCCAAGGGGAAAGAGTGGGTGAAAGGCCCATGGTTCATTGCCTGAGATAGGTGGGGTAAGTTTCGTCAAGGGGTGGTATTCAAAAAGGGGGTGGTGGTCACTCTGGTACTATGAGGGTGGTAGAGAGACTGGTAGTTCATGGTACCAATCTTGTAGGATAGGTACAGAATTTAAAACGACTTCGGTATCTCAATTTAAAAGTGTAAGAAGAGTAACAAACCCCTTTTTGGACCTTTATTAAATTTGTACCAGGTAGGAACCCAGTACTGCTCTTACGAGTTTAAGACCGAATGAATATTTTCGGACGCTGTGCCTTGCTTCTTCGAACATATCGAAATACCTCGTGTAATATAATTGAATTTCAACCACATATAGATTACTCAATATATTGTATAAAGTTTAGTATGGTTACAATCGGTCGTAAGTGGGTGCAACCAGCTACAAGAAGGACCAAGAAGCACCCACCCTGATTAATTATGTACCCCTGCCGGATGCGACTTATCGTCAAAAGATGTCATTGGCAAGCATCGTAAAACTCATTATTGAATAAAAGTAGTTTTTGTTAAAACAGAAACACATTTTAAAAATACAGGTAGGGAGCTGAAGACTTTTAACAGTTAACAAATGCTTGTAAATAAACAGACCACCCACCCCAGTTCCGGATCTGATACGCCCCAAGTAGCCACCCACCCATGTCCAAGTGGCGATCGAAAAAGAGTAGTTTCGTTTCAAACACCTGCAAGGTACCCCGTGGACCCACCCCCTTTCCCAATAACAGGGGAGCTGTCAGAGTAAAATAAGACAAAGGAAGGAAGAAAAAAAAGATGATGAAGTGTGGGGTGGGGGTATGCAAGGGTACTCGGCAAAGGATTTTTGGATGAGAGGTTGAAGGGAAGGCCTTGGTACAAGAATGCCGAAAAGATGAAACAAGAGACTTCAATGCGGTCGCTGGGGCTCCTTTACCTGAGGCCTTGATGGAGGGTGGTGTAATCTGATTGCTGCAATTCGAAGGGTGGAAGGTTGGTTCGAAGAAAAGGGGTAACATCCGAGGGGGTGGGGTCTTCGGGGTGGGCTCAGTCCTCGTGACATGTCACGAGGATTTGTTGGGGGGTGGGTCAGGAAACGATAGGACCGAATAAATTTAGATGCATTAGTTAAAAAGAAAGTAACAAAATCGTTTTAAAGACGGGGCCCATGCCAGGGATTGACGAGCAAGCAAGTAAAGCCAATCAGCAAGCTACAACACTGAAAAATCATAGAAGATATTCGGGAAGAGGAATCAAATATGAAATATTGGGGAGAGTTTTCAGGCTTACAATACACTTGTACATGAGGATCCTGTGAAATTACGGGTTTACGATGGCCGAACGATTCTCGAAACTGCAACCTTTGGCGCTTTGATGGGCCGCAACGGAGTTTCTTTCACTTCTATACAACAACCATTAAAACAATTTTAAGCGTACTTGGTACCCCTGTCGGTACTGTAAAACTCGTAATGAGTTTAAAATAGATGTATTCCTGGGTTACCTATCGGATTCAATATCGTCCCTTCTACACTCTGCTGCAACAAATTTGTACCTGTGAGGGTTCTGGTACTGTTAAAATACTAAAAAGTTATTCGATAACCCCCACCCCCTATTCCCCAAAGATCTTTGTACTGATAACCTTCAGAAGCACCCTGGCGGCCCGATACCCCTACAAGTCGAGCAACAATGACAGGGGGTAGGGTCGAATGTGGGACCGACAAATGCTCGTTGGGTCTTCACATTGTCCAAGTAGGTGGGGTGATCGTTCCTATGAATCCAGGGGGGTGGTATAGGTAAAAACTTCCCCTAGGAAGTGGTGGTTATACTCGGTATGACCAGCTGAATTTCCTAGAGCCCAAGGCAGGGAGAGAAGGACCAGCAAGGGGGTGGGACAAGAGATAGGCCGATTTGCTTGGGGTAGGGTACAGAAGAGGGGTAGGATAGCAAGAAGGTGGGGTAGGGGGAGGGGGAGAGCGTTCCCTTCTTAAGCAAGGGAAGAGGAGCGGAGGGCAGAAGCCGCCATGATCCGCGCATGCGCTCTCCTCGGCCTCGCCGCCTCGGCCGCCGCCTTCGCTCCTTCGTCCCTCCCCATCCGTGCTAACCGTGAGTACCAATCTTGTACTTAGAGGGTTGAGGGTGCTAGGGAGGACCAAAAGAGTGTTCATGCTGATGTTTGTTCTGAACAGGCGCTTCCGCTGTCAGCAAGATGTCCATGCAGAGCAACCGCTTTTCCTACCGCTCTGATGGCCTTCCCGCCTGGGACAGCGAGGGTGCTGACTGGGCCGTCAACGGAGGACTCTTCGGAGCTGTCGGTGACGTGATCTGGGCCCGTGAGGCTGAGATCAAGCACGGACGTATCTGCATGCTCGCCGCCACCGGATCCATCGTCCAGGATCTCTACCACTTCCCCTTCATCGACAAGTGGTACAAGGGCGAGAAGATGTGGGGCCTCCACGACGCCGCCATCAAGTCTGGCGCCCTCTGGCAGGTTCTCTTCTTCATTGGCCTCCTTGAGCTCCCCTTCCTCCTCAAGCTCGCCAACGGAACTGTCGACGGAACCGGTGACATCGGCTTCGATCCCCTTGGCCTCAAGAACGACCCCGAGACCTTCGCTCGCCGCCAGGTCACTGAGGTCAAGAACGGCCGCCTTGCCATGATCGCCATCTCTGGCATGACCCACCACTACTTCCTCACCGGCAAGGGACCCATCGAGTTCATCACTCAGATCCCCAACTTCAAGTCCTGTGCTGCTGCTGCCGTCGACACTGGTCTTTGCAAGTAAACAGTCATCGCTTGTAAATAAATGAGGAGCTGAATGTGTCTCAAACAAGTGTCCCGATCTCAATGTCAATCTTATTGAAATGTTATGTTTTAGGGTTTAGTCTGAATTTTGTCAAGTTCCAATCTCTTTTCGATAGTCGTTTCATACATCCATATCAATCAACTGACTTCGGGGATTTATTTCATCACATATTACATTAGTTAGCTTATATCCTTCATTTCGCTGCTTCCGCCTTCTCCGCTTGCTCAGCCTTATCTCCGTGATCACCCTTGTCTCCATGATCCTTCTTCTCCCCCTTCCCGCTCTAATGCTCTCAACATCAGTACAGTTCACCCAGTCCAACAAACTTACATCTTTCGGAAGAAGAGCGCTGTGAATGTTTGGAAGGACGCCTCCAGCAGCGATGGTAACCTACTCCTCCATCAATCCCCAGTCTCACCCTCGTTCCTCCATCATCTCACATGTCCCAGCAACTTGTTCAGCTCCTCGTCGTTCCTGATGGCAAGCTGGATGTGACGAGGAATGATCCTGTTGATTCTTCTGGTCAGCACCTCCCAGCAGGTGATCAGCATGTTCTTTACTACCTCGTCTTCTTGTTGTCCCTTGCAGCGTTTCCGGCAAGCTCGAGCACCTGCCGACGAGTCAATGTCCTCGTTTGCTCCTTGCACAGCTTTCTCTTCTCCCACATTTTCTTTTCTTGTCCCTGCATTCGGCCCCTATCCACTCACGCCCTACTAAACACAACCTCCCTCCTCCCCCGCTTCTACATCTCTCTTTCCTTGCTTGGCGTACAACTTAGGCATTTCAGCTACAGAGCTTTTGATGCTAGAAGATCGCGCAGATATCAAAAAGCTGTGTAAACTCCTCCCTCATGCCCGCACATCCAGTCAATGCTTACCTCCGCAGTGAGATACTCCAGCACAGCTGCCAGGTACACAGCAGCTCCGCCTGCAATTCTCACGCCTTGGGCTCTACGCTTGATGAATCTGTGGATCCTTCCTACAGGAAACTGAAGGCCAGCACGGGTGGAACGCGTCTTTGACTTTGTGTTGGGGTCACGTGGCTTCTTCACCTTGGCACCCTGGAAGAGAGAGTGAGGAGGGATTCGGTCGGAAAGGAGAGTGAGAGAGTGAAGGAGAGGCAGATGGGAGGATAACAGTGAGATTGAGAAATAGCTGCAGATCAAAGGAAACGATCGACAAGGAGAAAGAAAGAACAACAGAAACAGAGAAAAGAAGAGCAGAATGGAGGCGGACCCCAGACAATATTCACCTCTTCTTTCTTCTCTGTTGCTTCCTTCTTCTCTCCTGCATCCTGCCCTCCCCTCAGACGAAGCGAGAGATCAGCACGAGGGCCGTGGCGTGATTTGCGGCTTTTTGGCACGGCATGCTTGCCGAGATCAACGGGTCGGAGAGCAGACGTGGAGGAAACGAACAGCTGTAGGAGGAGCAAGGTCCCCAGAAAGATTCTCAATCCTCTCATGATTGAAAGTTGATCAAGTCAAGTTGCAGTAGCAAGTATATCGATGCGGTATGAAGCTGAGGGTGTAGATCAACTTTAGATTATTTGTGCCGCCCTTGATCCCATAACTGTCACTCTCAATGTCAGTCGAAAACAAGCAAAACGTGCTTCTTTCTTTTGAATACCTGTAAGCACCCGTATTTTTCCGAATCTTCTAACCTGAAAGCAGGAGAATATCATTAAAACATATAGTACACTTATCCTTGTGATCCAAATAAAAATGTTTAGGATTTCGTTATCGAACTGAAGAATCCTACGAGAGAAAATGCGAGAGTAAAGAAAACTTTCCAACCACGCTTTCTTCATCTTCTGTTTCTCGTCTATCAATTTGTTTTTTTCTTTTAGTTCATCCTCATATTGAAAGATTCCTTGCGTTTCCACATTCATCCTGTCTCACTGTCTTACAACCTTCACACAGTCCTGCTATTTGCCTTTCCTCTGCCTAACGTTGAACATGTCTTGATAAACTAGTCATATCATCATGATGGTAACTTCACTTGGCATGCATGGCTCTACGGTTCCTTCTCCCTCGCAACCAAACCAACCTTTCCTCTGTTTTACCGGACTTGTGTATGTTGGTCGGTTTACTGTTTGTCTGTCACACCAATTATCCACATGGTCATCTAAGTTGTATCCTCCTTTTCTCCTCTGTCATTCTTACTTAGCATTTTCTCTCCCCCTCCACCTTCTCTTCTCTACCCGCTCCCTCGCCATTACGGGCCGCATAATCGCCAATTTGAAACCGTCGGAATACCCCACCCCAATCTATTGATCACCCCTACCCGTGACAGCTCATGGTCAAAGTTTCAGAGCCCAGGGTAACATGTATATCAAATTACATATGTAAGAACTTAAGAATATTCTGTAGTAGGGTACCCACCTTGAGAACAAGCAACATTTCATCAACCCACCCTTGACATGGCACCACCCACCGAGGCAAAAGAGGATCCGCAACCCTGCATTACCGGTATTTTCCCACTAAAGCAAGGGTACTTGAGCTCTGACTGGGGGTACATGAGGACTGGAGAATGAGGGGGATGATAGGATTACTTTCCGGGGCCCGCCGCGAGCCGGGCGGCCGGGCCGGGGCCCCGCCCGGCGCACCGTCAGTGACTGTGACCCGGTGAGGTGCGGTGACCGTCTGGCATCCTGACTCATGATCCGACGATCCGGTGACTGGGGCTCATCCGGCGGCACTGCGGGGCGTGCGCCGGCGTACGGTGGCCGCTGCCGGCCCCCGCGGCGGCCCGCCGCCAGGCCGGGCCGCGTGCGTACTACGGCGGTGGCCAGTGACTCTGGACTCCGAGAGCCCCGGGCCGGCCCAGACTCCGTGACTCGGCGCCGGGCGGCCGCGTGACGCGGCAGCCGCTGAGCGGCCGCGCCCCGCCGGGCCAGTTGTACTCCGAGTCTGACAGCTGCGGCAACTGAGGCGGGGCGTGACCGGGCGGCCGGGCGGGCCCGGAGGCCGCCGCCACCGTGGCACCTGGCACTGCGGCGGCGCAGTGACGGAAGTGCGGCGGCGCAGTGACGGCAGTGCGGCGGCGCAGTGACGGCAGTGCGGCGGGCGCCGGCATACCGGCCGCCGGGCAAGTGTACTTTTACTCGGCAAGAGTCACTTGCCGGCATGCCGGCAAGTTCCGAGGCCCCCAGGCTTTGCTCACGTAACGGTCTGTAACTTCTTTGCCTCCCTTGTATGGTATGGAGAGAAAGGTGCAAGACGAGAGGGAGAGAAGGAAAGTTGAGGAGAAGAGGAGGGAGAGGAGGGAGGGAGGGAGGGAGGGAGGGAGAGAGGGAGGGAGAGAGAGGGAGCCAGGGAGGTAGGGAGAGGGAGAGGGAGAGGGAGAGGGAGCGAGAAAGCGAGAGAGATGACGCAAGCACGAAGAAATTGAGTTACTAGATTCTCTTGAAGGACTGCAGGAGGCTTTAATGAGAGAGAATCTGCGTCAATGGAGGACACGGCTTTGTTGGAATGTGACTTGTTGGTATGTGACTGTGTCGAGCAGTTCCTGCTCTTCCTCAGCACGACCACTTGAAAGATTGACAACGTGGAGGAGGAAGAGACAGGCAGCGGATTCTGGGGTCGCGCGAGAGGAGGAGAGGAGGGTAAGAATGGAGGAGGAGAGCTTTCGTCAGATCCTGTCGCATGAGACGGAGATCGAAGCCGAGCTGCTCTTCGACTACAAGTTCCCTCCCCCCAAGAGGGTCGGCATGCTCAAGTGGAGGCCGTCAGACGCGTACCTGGAGACAGGATGGGAGGACGAGCCCCCTCAGTTGCGCGAGCAGACGGCAAGAACGCTCAAGTTCATGCTAGCAGGGATAACGGCGGGAGCTGTGAGCCGAACCATGACGGCGCCGCTGGACCGAGTGAAGATCCTCATGCAGGCAGGAGAAGAGGAGGGGAGGCAGGATTGTGATGACATCGCTTGATGCGGGATATGAGTTCTTATGCTTGATTGTTTGCTCCTGCTATTGCTACAAAAGATGTTCAATATGATGATGATGGAGATGATGACGATGATGGTGATGGTGATGGTGATGATGATGATGACGACGACGACGACGATGATGATGATGATGACGACGACGACGATGACGATGACGATGACGATGACGTTTGTCTCACTTTTACGACATACTGTTGTATCTATCTCTCCCACCTCCTTGCTCACATGAACGCTCTTGTGCTGCATGTCTTGTCGCGGCTATATGAGTCAGTGAGAACTGAAGCAGGCAAACGAGATGAGAAGGAAACTCACCATCAGCGAGGTAGGAGGATGTGAAAATCAGGACGATCAGGACGAGGACAAGGAGCAGAAGGGAGGAGGGAGAGGAGGAGGGAGAGGAAGAAGAGGGAGAGGAAGAAGAGGGAGAGGAATGGAGGGTGGGAAAGAGGAGGGAAGAGGAAGAAATGGCAGAGGAAGGTGATTGTGGGCGGCAGGTGGTTCGAGACATAAGGAGCGAGGGAGGATTCTTCGCATTTTTCAAAGGTTTCGAATC